AAAATATAACCTTGCTTTGGCATTACAGGGTTATAACAGCCAGTATTTGCTAAGGATGGTAAGTTTTTACATACGATATCAAATTTTGATAATGATGGTACATGACTGTATTTAAAATAAGGTTGCCATATATGCTGCAAAGTTGGATATTAGGTTTGTTAAGTTATTTTTCAAATCGATTGCTTAATTGTTTGTCTTACCCGACTGTTTAGGAAGCATGTGTATGTGTGGATACAAATCTTTCGTTCTCAGAACAACTCGGTAGTTAAACTTATAAATCAATATTTGTCATGAAGCTACGCAAAGTAAATAATGTGTCACTTTTTTGAGAATATGGAATTTGAATGTTATATTCGTTATATACGTTAAAAATATTAACATTGTATTATTTATACAATCATTATACACGTATTCCTTTCGTATTCAGATAATAATATATAGATAATTTATCACGGTATCAGTGTCATATACCATCTTGAGTTCTCAGAAAGTGTTTTTTATATACATGTAATTCGAAATATTACGATTATTCACTGTAATTTGGGCTATTTAGAAATGTGTGGCAAATGTAGAGTCAGAACATGGTATTATTGCAATGAGATTTTCTGGGGTTGAAAATAACTATTGTCTTTCATATATGTATGTTTTGGTGCATGTTTTTCTAATATGAATGTCTTAGAGATCTGTGGTCAACTGAAATTTCTAATTTGTATCTTGGAAAATATAGTATAAAGTATAGTATTTAAAATAATTTAACCACTTGTATATTAATACAGTGTTTTCCGGCTTCAATTTAGTTTATATCGCTAGGATATTATATTATTAGTGATACTTTTATGAATGAATCATCCCCAAATTCATTGGGGTAAACGGGGTGGTGTTTATGGTGCTCGGACATTATTCTACTATGTTTGTAAACTAAGGCTTTAACAGTGGAATATGCTTACCGGCAATTTACTTTGATATAATGAGATTTTGTTCGTAAACTTCGCCCGGAGGTTGTGTATTGCATCATGTTGTTAAATGTCGAATCCGGACACCTACCCCCTAGACATCCACCCCCGGATAACGCCCCCAGTCAACTACCCCTTAGGACAACTTCCCTCTAGGACAACTTTCCCCTAGGCAACCACCCTCTAGGACGACTACCCCCTGGACAACTACCCCCGGACAACTACCCCTAGGACAGCTACCCCCCCCCCCCCCCCAGACAACTACCCCCGGACATCTACCCCCTGGACAACTATCCCCAGACAACTAACCCCTAGGATAGTTGTCCAGGGGGTAGGTGTCCTAGAGGATGGTTTTCCAGGGCAGTTGTCCGGGGGTAGTCGTCCTAGGGGTAGTTGTCCTAGAACCGTTAAATGTATGAATTTTTGTTTTGCTGGTAGAAATACATCGGATTCCGAATTCAGGAAATTAAAACGACACATTACGTTTTGTTTTAGGGCGCAAGTATATCTTGTTTGTGGTCATTTCTTCAAGATGTTAATACTTTACTACTTGATTGGAGTTTCGAGAAAAGCGTTTCTTTTATTTATTCGTTATATGTCTTATACCTAAAAGACCAGGGAATAAAATTTGAAATGAAATTAAAAGCAACACACTGGTAGCGTATTATGCTTCATAGACTCATAAACATAATTTCTTGACAAGAAGAGAATTTAGAGCTGTTTATTTGATTACATTAGTAAGACAGAAACGCACAATATTAATCATTTCATCCGTATAACCAAAGTGAATTATATTAATTACATAGATAATCATGAAATATAAAAATCATTTGACAGATATATACATAAATGCTGCAAAGATTAGTACTAAAAGTGATCAATAAATTCAAATCATTTTTTTCTATTCAATTAATTTGTCATCGTGAAAAAATTACAAAACATAAATACAAAATTCGTGTACATAATAGGCCAATACCTCTAAAAAAACATATTGTGCTTAAAAATAAGGCCCCGATCAAGATAAACGCAATATTATACTAAATTCGTTTTAAACAAATAAAAAAAAAAAAGCATTACATTGTGCCTGGTGACGTGAAAATAACTCAAAAGTATTACCCTTTGAATTCCAACGTTATGGACTAAAAGCGTTTTACTCTTCTTGTAAACATGTAAAATGAAGAATTTTTTCTTCTTACAGCGACATACCTTAAGGCTGGAAATGTTTCAATGGCGGATCCAGAGGTAGGGGCACACGACGCCCCCTCCCAAACCTAAACCCAATTTAGCACAACTTAAGAAAGGAAAAAAAGTGTACACATATTTTGGACTGAAATGGGACTCCTTAATTGTGAGACCCCTTTCTTTTGTTCTACTTGCCCCCTCTCCAAAAATCAATCCTAGATCCATCATTGTACATGAAGCCTTTAGTGATTCTGGTAGAAAACGAGGGCCAATAAATAGTTATTTTCGATCAGGACTTTAGGTCCCTCCCATATCTTGCATACTGATACACATGTATTTCAAAACCGTTATTGTGGCGCAACTATAGCTTCCCTGCAGAGAGAGAGGGAAGAGAGAGAGAGAGAGAGAGAAAGGGGCGAAGGTAAGAAAGTAACTCGAAAAGACGATTTCCTCCCGGCTCCACCATCCTGTCTGATGGCCTTTAAATTTTTTATTTTACCCATCCAGTATACTATGTGTCCCCCCCCCCCCCCAACTCTATGCCATTGCATAATGTCAACCACATACAACATCTCAGGAAGCACCTTGGAAGCGTCACATGACAGTGCGATTAACAATTGCTACAGTACTGTTCTCCTATCTTCATATAAAAATATATGCGTACATAAATTATTAAGAATAGCATAGAAAAACTAAATATAAAATATACTAATGCCTCTTTTTGTGTTTCGGTACATACAGAAATAATAGATGAATTGCAGCAAAGTACATAAAATCTACAAACAATGATGTGAAATGATGTGAAAAAGTGACGATTCGTGAATAAGCCTCCACTAAATATGTTCAGTTTCGTGCCAAGTAACCCCAAATAACCCCTGGGGTTGTTTCATCAACTAAAATTGATTTTGATTTTAAAAATCAAGTTTTAACCAAATTCAGTTTTATCTTAAAGTTTATATTGCTTGTGAGTTGTTTCATCAAATCAATTTTAAGCTAAAATCGATTTAGATTAATTTGAAGATCAATTGTAAGGCTTGATGAAACACCCCTTGAAGACAATTGGGCATTATGCATAACATAAATAAATCTTTTTTAAGGCCTCCAAAGATCATCGTCTTTGTTTATCCCCTTCTAAATTTTTAAGTTTTTTTTTTCTTTCAATAGATCTAAGGAGAAGGAAACATCGCAGGTTCCCTCATAATGAACAGTTGGATAATTAAATGGTTTTGTCAAATTTATACATCGTCTTTAATTTCATTCTTCATACTTAATACATTTTAAAAATATAGTACTATTTGTATCGGTACTCTAGTCGGGGCCTCCATCAAAATCACATTCAAATGTTACACTATACTTCCATTGTTTATAGGCATACGTAGAAAAAGAAATACTAAAACCAAATTTAAACAAAGGAATATACCACAAGTAAACCGATAACTCGTTCTGTAAAAAAATGGAGAACAAAATAATTAGGAAAAACTTTATAATTAATTTCAACAACTATCTCTTATCCACAAGTATATAAACATATATTTCACCAACTTGCATTTCAGAAGAAGAAAAAAATTAATTCTGAAAATATATTTATTCTCACCTTTAATGCACTACTTGAAGTACAGATTACATGACGTAACTAAGGATTATTATACACATCTTGGAAATATAAATGTACGTCAATGCACCATAAGTAAACTTCAAAGAACTTTAATTAAGCCGATCTTCTTAACCTTTAAATAATTCATATAAAAATATTTGTCAATTATTTGTCGATTATTGTGAAATCGGTTCGAAATAATGTGCCATCCGATAAATGCAGTCATTCATACAGTAAAGGTGTTAAAGTACAAGAAAGTGAATACTGAATAGTGTAGTTCTAAGTAAGATTGTTGGAAACAAATAACCGGTTGCTGACACCATGTTACGTGATTTAAAAGAAATCATTTGAAATCTTGGATGAAAACGTATAAAATCAGATCTTTTCAAAGATTGCATTAAATCGAACAAAATAATGACGGATTTTGAAAAGTTGAAATCACTATATAGGAACCTAATATTTGTAAATGAATCAATCGGCTGAGAAGTTTTAGGGACTAACTCTCCCATTTGGAAGTGATATACATTAATTTCAAGTTTTTCTACTTCGGGGAAGTACTCCAAACATATTTTGAAAAGCATGTCATAGGGGTCATAGGTCCTTCAAATGGACAAAAAGATCCTAGAACAAGTTATACCGTTTTGGGAAAAGTGATTAAAGTCAGTGTATGTGGTTGAATGAATAAAATGTTCTCCGTCAATTTGAAATTTACTCATTGTGTAGTGATGAAAACTTTCGAAAATTCATTACTCTGTGTCCCATTTGCAGGCCAAAAAAATGAAAAGGTTAAATTTCAATGGCATTTGAAAGATAATACTATTTTAGAACTCCCCTTAAAAAAGGGGGGGGGCTTGAAAATTTATAGAGGGACAATAACGACAATTAGTTGCCAAATCGACTTAGGAGCTATAGAGCCAATAAGTAATAATCTTGATTTTCAGACCATTGTACCGCATGGTCGTACGTTTTATGCTGCGCAAAGATTCAATCAGTTTAATTTTGGCCATTACAAGAAGTAGGTTATTGATGTAGACAAATCATTTACAGCTCATTTTATGTATGTTAGTTACCAAAGAAGAAAAGAGCCAGTCACTCACTCAATACTGACAATATTGTCTGACAGTGAAGTCTAGCAAGAAAACGGGTTTCCTTGCATAATTTGAATATTAGGACACTGCTAACGTTTAAATTTCACAGATAGGACATACGTGACTTATTCATAAATCCTGCTTGGCTGCAAAAGGGACATAGTATCTTTAATATTTGTCCGATTTAGGTCAAATTTTTATCAATCTCCTTCTCTGCTTTCTCTGCTTTCTCTGCTTTCTCTGCTTTCTTTAAGAATATGTTGTTATTTTTCCTTTAAGGCGTATAATCAAATTCACACAGTAATTCATACTTTAAAGAAAGGATGAACTATGTGAAATATTGCAAGCCTACAACTTCAACTTCCCTTAAATTACTTTCCCGCCTTCATGAGCGAAGCGAAAATGCTGTCATCTCGCTGTAGGAGATCGTCTGGTGTATCGAATTCTGCCACACGACCGTCACTCAGCGTCAAGATCGCATCTGAGTTCAATATCGTCGCCACACGATGCTGAAGAAGGACAAGGATATTGGAAAGATTTGCAAATAGTATAATTACATTAAATTGCTGCTTGTTTATCCCAAGTCATACAGGTTAACTGACTCCAAGCCGACACAAATCTTTGACATGTGAGATATTATACAAATTAAATTAGGTCTGTTGGCCTGGATTCGATCCGGAGTCGATCTCGCGATGGACTGACCTGGGTATTGTACATGATCATTCACACGGTAAAACGCCTCCAAACCGATCGATACTGATCTTGGAGATTTTTGGTAATTGCTTTTATTGTTTTCGGTCTGGTGTGGGCGTGAATAGAATATTACTAGGTAATAATTAAATGGATGAGATTTCAGTAAATAGAACAACGTCAGAAGTATATCTCTATATTACAATATTCAATTGAGACCTGGGCCCCCGTCTTAACAAAGAGTTGATATCAATCGCAACTATGTACAAAAAGAGATGGGAGACTGCAAACTTGCATTGATTGGAGGACTTTCGATTGATTTGCATCAATCGTAACTTTGTAAGTCGGGCCCTGACCTACAGAGTTCCTTGAGGTTTTATTTCATGTCATTTTTTAAATGCACAAAATATGCGTGACATAATTTCTATTTTAAAGAAATATCAAATTAGGTTTCATGTATGCGGGTGAATAATTTGAGGCTACACACATGGAGTGAAAGACGATTTTCTTCACAAATGCAGATGTCTTAAATTTCATTTCAAGACAAGTACAGTTTGACAGACCCACGCCAGTTTTGTCACTTACTGCAATGGTTAGAACTGTCCTGTCCTGGAAGATTTCAGCCACTACGTCTTGCAGAATCAAATCCTGTAAACATTAAAGCGATAATATTTATGACATATGCATGAATTCTCATATCGCTAGCTTGTCTGATCTGCAATGAATATTATTTTGGCCAGAAAATCACTCATTACACTCTACCCCTACCCTCCCCCACTCCCTTCCACAGATTTGGTCAGACCTCCTCCCTTCATCATTTTGATTTTGTAACGTAACATAGCGTAACATACTGTAATTGTGTACTGAATAATATTGTGTACTTGTGGTGCTGTAGTCCCGGCTTTATTTCTTGTATAAGGACATTGCTTCACTTAATGGCTGCTGGAACAACAGCACCACTGCGCCTAGAAACAATGTATTAGGCGCGTTATAAATGTGATCTATTATTAGTATTACTATCATCATCGAAGGCCTAGCGACGAGCTTGTTATTATGACCCTTTTATTCCGAGTCTGGATAGAAGATTGAACTTATAGGTACAACCATTTTCTATGTTTTCCCCTGCTCTGATTTTACTTCGTGTCCTTCATGCTTCATGACTTGTACCTCTCTTGATTCATGTAACTTAATTGTACTGTATAAATCAAGTAAATCTCATGTTCCATGAATCAAATGAATAAAAAAATACCGTTTCTTGGTCGATGGAAGCGGTCGCCTCATCCATGACAATAATCTTTGAATGTCTGAGAAAAGCTCTGGCGAGGCAGAAGAGCTGACGCTGACCAACACTGAAGTTTTCTCCTCCTTCGGTCACTTCATAATCTGATCAACGAAGGTGGGAATCAAATTACATCAAGGTATTTAGAGGAATAGAATGATTGTGCAGAACAGTCAATAACTAGGACAATAGCATAATCAAGATTTGTTCTTATTTTTAAGTAGATTGGTAAAAGAGAAAATACGATGTGATACTTTATATAAAACAAAAAAGGAAATTACGAAATTATCAAAGGTACTCTGTAGTAGGAATTACGCCATACAGAATGTTGTCGCCAAATTTCGCAGACATTGCAAGAGCCCTGCAATTATTGCTTCACAAGAATACGAAGACAATGACTTTTCGAAAAATTGCGAATCCTATATGACCTGAATAATGGGTAATTTAAATTGACTTGAGTTGAAACGAGATAATAAGTGCAGTAGTGAATCATTCAAAATAATTATTTTTAAAAAAGTTACCCAATCCTGCATCAATATTGGAAACGACTTCCCTCAGCTGAGCTACATCGAGCGCTTCCCATAATTCCTTGTCCGTTTTTGTACCAATCGGGTCCAGGTTGTACCTAAAAGACAAAGAAATATATCATTATCATCACCATCATCATCACCACCACCATCATCATCATCACCGTCATCATCATCATCATCATCGCCATAATCATAATCACCATCATCATCATCATCACCATCATCAGCACCACAACCACCATCACTCACATCACCATCATCATTATCATCATCACCACAACCACTACCCTTAAATGTAAACTCCAGTTCTGGTAAAAAAAAGAAAATTAATTCTCACAGAATCAAACGAAACTTACACTGAATGTTCAAGATTACAAATAAATGACATGTGCCAAACAATTTTGGAAGAAAATGTATACTGACTGGGTAATGAGCATAGAAAGACAGGGAAATCAAAGTAGTACTAGCCCCGACACCATGTGTGTTGTCCCATATATAGCTTTCTGTGTACAGTGCTTGTTACTTTACCTCGGTCAAATTTATTATGATTTTGATGACTCCAGAACCTTGCAATGCACACCAATACTTACATGCTACATGATCAACTGATTCTGATCCTTTCCACACCTTTTCTTTCACAATGCAATCGCATTACCAGTACTAAAGTTTATCTTTAACTTCACCATTACAATTAACATCATTAACATCACCACCACCACCACAACAACAACCACCATTACCATCATCATCATTATCATCATTATCATCGTCATCACCACCACCACCAACACCAACACTACCACTACCATCACCACAATCGCCATCATTATCATCATTCACCACCACCACTACTACCACCACCGCCACAATCACCATTACCATCGTCATCATCACCACAGCCACCATCTCCACCACTATCACCACTACCACTATCATCATCATGAATATACCTGATGGTTCCCGTGAAGAGGATGGCATCTTGGGGGATGATGGAGAGTCGTTGACGGAGCGTACGGAGCGGAACTGCAGCAATATCAATACCGTCAATTAAAATTCTACCCTTGAATGTATCTATCATACGGAACAGAGCTAGTGTCAGTGACGATTTGCCGCTCCCTGTTCGGCCGCAGATGCCAATCTGAAATAGAAGAAATAAGGAAAATGACGATTATATATGATAATTCGACTGTGAAGTATAAGAGAAAGAGAGAGAGTGATGACATTACAAATGCTTTAAAGATGAACCAAGATTTCAACAACTACATAAAAAGCAATTAAAACTTATTTTACAAGCCTTTCCAAACAAAATACCACAGGGTACAATACTTGCTTTCATTACAGTCTCATCCATCAGAAATAAAACAGGTAAAAATGGGATTCCATTTAAAACTAAAACCTCAACGACATATCATATCAGGCCATAATATGTACAGCGATTTAATTTGACTAATTTTCTTTTAAAAATGCAAGGGTAAATATTCAATCCCAGAGGAAATTTAGCATTCTAAATAAATTGAGGAAAATGTCGAATAACAAATCATAATGAATTGAATCTTAAGTTGGTTAGGCCAAAACATGTCTAATTTTTTTTAAACTGAGGGACAAAATCATAATTGCATGCTAGGAAGGAAAGACAAGCATTATATCATTCCTAACCTTTTCCTGAGAGCATACGTTGAGTGACACTTCACGTAATACTGGATTTAGGTCGGGTGAATATCTCACACTGATATCATCAAATTGAATCTCACCACGAGCCGGCCAATCAGGAGGGGGCTCAAGACCTGTCCAAAGATGTCAAAAGAGTTTGAAATGTTGATATTTTTGTTTTGTTATGAATACTGCCGTCATACAAATAAATCAAACTCTTTAAAAATATATGTTTAAAAAAAAAAAGTTTTCTAAGCTTTGATATTACTTGCTGATCATTGTATTTAAAGCCCCACTGCACTACTTATATCTACTTGCGCCCTCTATATAGCAAACAATGCCTAATCGGTGCCTGTTGGTCCCCCATGATCCTCAGTTTCTTGTGTTAATTGAGAGCTGATTTGATGAGATAACCACCGGTCAATGACCTTGCAGGGAGGTCTAAACCCTGGCCAAACTAGTGCAGATGGGCTTTAAGGCAACTGCATTTTTAAGTTCGTTTGAAGGTTGTAATACAACGTTGAGTAGGTATAGGCCACACAGAGCTTCACGATAAATTCCTCCTCTGTGACCCCTCACCCATCCGCCCACATCCCTTCTCCGCCTGGTGAGGATTATGCCCCTTTTGTCAATTGACGGATAAGCCACACAAGTATTACAGTATGATAATTCTCATAATTATGAAATATTGATTTCACCAAACAGAAGCATCATTTTAATGTAATAAAATGTTTGAGAAGGGAGTGTAAGTACACTAAGAAAGAGATGCTAAGTCATTGACCTCATCAATACTAAACTTCGGGCGTTCCCATGACCATATTTCATTAAAAATTGAAATTATCATTGCGTCGTGACCTTTTGTCGTCCCCCTCTTCTTGGTATCTTCACATTTAAAATTACTAATAACACTTTTACTACAAAAATAATTGGTAACTATTATAGCTTTGGCAAGATAATACCTTATACCTCTATTTGTATATCATATGACCGGAAGGACTACCTACCATCATAATCTTCAGTTGGTACCTCCGCGTAGAAACGAAGACGTTCTACTGCGTTCATCTGCAGCTCCAGATCTGAGTACTGAAGAACTACAAAGTTCATATACAGTGAAACCTATGAGATTAGAGAGAGAGAGAGAGAGAGAGAGGGGGGGGGGGGGAGAAACGGAAAGTTTATTGCTTAACGTGCTAAATTTGCTTTGTTAAAGATCACTCAACAAATGTAAACATTAAAAAAAAAAATCTCTAATCACATGATGGCAAACGTAATTTCCTGTACAAATCGCACTGAATTAGAAACGTTATTTAGGTGAAAGGTAAAATACGCTTAAGATCATAATGGTGGATTTGTGCCCTCATACTTTTTCCCTTCTTCCTTTCAGTTATGAAGAGGGAAAGGTTAAAATCATGCAATCAATTTACACAGCAAACAATCGTGAAAATTTGAAATGAAATATGAAGAATATATATATATAGAAAAAATATAATTTTACATGCATCCTTAAATTTCATAACAATTCTGATCCTTTCGGTAATCAAAACTCTTTACTCTTATCATGCCATAGAGCTAATCCCCATTGTGCCAAGCAGGGGCGTACGCAGGGGGGGTGTTTTGGGGGTTCAAACACCCCCTTTGGTATTTTAATGTATGTAAACCCCCCTAAAAAAACCTAAAACCCCCCCCTTTGGCTTTTTTTTTTTTTTTTTTTTTAATTAAAAAAAAAAGGAAAAAAAAAAAAAATTATACCCACGGCTAACCTAAATAAGGTGACCTTACCCTCCCCCCATACGTAAAAAAATGTCAAATTTTGAAATTTTGAGACCAAAAAAAAAAAAAAAAGTGTCCGCTTACCCCCCCCCCCCCCCCCCCCCCCCCCCCCCCACTGAGCGACGTTTCGGTCGGCGCGATTTTCAAATTTTCGGGAGCAAAATATTTTAAAACCCCCCCCCCCCTTGAAAAAATCCTGCGTACGCCCCTGGTGCCAAGCCCCAAATCCCCCCGTGCCAGGTTGTTTTGGGGATAATTTGATTAACGCGATGGTTCTATGAATAGCGGGAGCAAAATACACAGCACAGTCCAATGAGCATGAACAATAACTGCTATTACGAATGCTGCATTGCACGCACATGGCACTCAAGCGATAGCTCTCTCGCGTGTACAAAGCACTATAACGATAGCGTGCATACAGCCTTATGGCAGGCTATGAGTCGAGTCTTACCTCTAATGAATATGTAATAGCCAGACCGACAACACTAGCGTCAATACCCAAATAGGCAGCTCCGAGCAAGACGCACAAACTCGCTGAAAATACCACGAAATCACCAAGATAATCCTGCAAAAAGTAAATAATATATTTCTCAAATAAAATTTGCACTAATCTGCAGATTGACGAATGTGATGTTGGATGTTGGATACTAAAATGCAAGGTTCATTTAATGAGACAAAAATAAGAAGTGTCAAATTGACATTGCAATGAATTTAATCAATGAAATTGGACAAATAAACGTTTTGGGAAATTTGGAGTTCCTCGATGCCTGTAAATATTCAAATCAAAATTCAAAGTTACAAGAAGGCTATTAATCAATGGACTTACGAGACTATTAATTTATTGTAAGTAAATATCAACCAATTACCCCTATTTACAGGGAAGTAAAACAGCTGAAACCAACCTGATACGAAGCATAGGCCTAACCCATTTAAATAGTCAGTATAATTTTAATTGATAACATGGAGAGCTTGGATACATGTCAAGAGAAGGATACATATCAAGAGAAGGACCTATTAAAAGAGCATTATTCTGTACTTGAGAGTGATAACATAAGGATTGGTACAACTTGGTCCAATTACGACAGGTGCACACATTTCAGCCTTAAGCTTGAACCAAGCGAAGGCTGTCACACAGCGCGGCATCTATGTCTCGCTCCAACTATAATAATAATAATAATAATAATAATCTAATAAAGTCCACTCCAAATTTTATTATTAAGTTAAACCGAAAATGGAAATTCTTTTTGCCCAGTTGATCGTGATCCCGGCAGCCACTGAGCAGCGCCAGATCGACGTTGCTCTATACCTTATTGTTGAACGCCAAACAAGGTATCAGCAACTCCCGTCTTTTAACGTCTTTTTGTATGACGCGGCCGGAGTTCGAACCCACGACCTCCCGGTTATGAGGCGGACGCTCTACTGACTGAGCCAGGCGGGACAAACAGTATCACATATTTATTTAAAAATCATACCAGTCTGAGAGCGACCCATCTCATCGATGTGAGGAGATAGAGGAAGACGGTATTGTTGACGTTGATGCGCTCCATTATTGTCTTGAAGAACCTTTTCTCATCCTTGTATGCTCTTATCGTGGACAGACCGCCTAGGGTTTCTGAGAAGTGGGCAAAGACCGGGGAGCGAGAGACACTCTCTGCCCGCTGCAACTCCCTATAGGATAAGACAAATCATCCAGTTATAAAATCATATCGTTTATTCTTTTATAATTGTTTATAACAATGTCTGACAAGGCGATTGAAATACGTGATATACAATCAATCGTTTTTAAATGTGCGTTTTATTTCCCTAACGGTTAAGTCCTTGTTTGCTAGTCGGTATATTCATTTTTCGCGTTTCAATAATACATCACTTTAAGTGAGACAATCCAAACAAGAATTAAAAAGGTGAATCGAGCTGAATGAAAATTCTCATTTCAAATGATAATATTTACGGTAAAAACATTCTCACACATTAAAAAAGCTCAGTGACCAAAAGGAAATAGTAAAACAGTAAAACGGAATTAATATTTTATGTACAAAAAAATAAGATTTTTCCTGCAAAATATTTTTTGAACAATAATTTTCTAGAAACGAAGCAGCGCATCCAATAAAACATATGGAAATGGTCTGCACAATTTCTAGACATTATATTTAGGCCTATTTATGTTAGAACACTATGTATCCCGTATTACGGTACCGGATGAAATGCAGACAGTAGTCTATCAAGTTCCGGTCAACTTCACAATGTCTCATAAACATTAAAACGGTGGACTTTACCTTGAAGTTGCTATGTAGTACATCAGCAGAAAGATAAAAATGAAGGATATCTGAATGAAGAAGAAGACGAAGTACCAGACGACGACTACCTGAACGATCAGGGAGCTGACGATGCCGGCTGCGAGGTTGATGAGGAGACAAAGTGTATGTACTAAACGCTGATCAATAGATAAGTTAAAAATAAATACGTATATGAATAAACATTCACGAAGATCGCCACTTGAGATTAATATCAATCTTGACTTTGTACTTGGGATGAATTAGAAGGTTAGTCTGCGACTGCATGGTTGGAGGACTATGTGAAATTTTTCCAACTCTTAACAAGACATGACCAGGGCCCTGCCTTTTAAAGAGTTGTGCTTGATTTGATTCAATCGTAACTTTCATAGAGATTAATCAATCATATTTCTTAGGGGTTATCAGAATGTAATTTGTGGTGAATTAAAGACTTTTGTTGAACTCAGATCAACAGCAACTCTTCGTAGACACACACATTTTACGCTAATTTGTCAAAGAGGAATATTAAATATTGTGATGGAATAATATATATTGATATCATCATCTTGAATAAATTCTCTTCAAGATTCAAGATTCAAGATTCAAGATTCAAGATAATTTATTGTCCGATTTAAAAAAATACAGAAATTCGTCCTCCACTGGCAAGTGACGTACATATACAAACAACATAAACAATATATAAATACATTCGAGGATACAAAGAAAATACAAAAATAATAATAATAACAATAATAGTAATAGCAATAATAGCATTAACAAAGCTGACATGTAAACTTGAAAACTGGCATTTAAAAATGGATCTCGATAATGCACAGAATGCATTGAATAAATGAATTTAAAAGTGCTCTGAAACATTCACCCCTTCTCTCCCAGAAAAGGGGTATGAGGAGAGAGAGAGAGAGAGAGAGAGAGAGAGAGGAGTCGAGTGGAGTAGAACAGAAAGGAAATGTGAGGGAGAAAGAGAAGGAGGGAGAAAAGAGAAGGTGACAGAAAACGAGGAGCTCTGGGAGGGGAGGGAAGAGATGAGGTAGAGGTAGAGTACAGGATATCAAGAACAGTGACTGCCCGTGGTAAAAAAAGACAAATGAGTCGTCAACATTCGAAAATTCGAAATTCAGAGCTGCAAGCTAGAGATAGACCCTGTGCAGTAGAAAGTTGGAATAAAAAAGTGTCCAATAAGGAACCTAGCCTTAGCCATTTCACATTTACATATACATATACATGTGTCATGGGACAGCGGCCATAACATACTAAAAACATGTAAGAGGGCGTGCACGAAGTCTGGTACATGTATACAAAGAGATGCGGTGTAGAAGAGAGGGGAGAAATAAGAAAAAGTGGTAAATAAGGGAGAAATGCACACCTAAAACAAAGCTTCAAGTGAAAGGAGGGAAGAGGGAGGGAGAAAGAACATAGCAGCTGACATTCATGCACGCACTCAAGATACGTTGTTCATCCATTAAAAGTTTAAAAGATACTGTTTCGCATCATTATGGACAGAGTGAAAGGCATTTTAACACTATCATAAAAGACAGTTCTTCTCAAATATACATATTTGTTGAGTTGAAAGACATTTACTGTTATAGGTTTAACATTATTGCACTTAATACTGACATTTGAAATATTGACATTGATTAAAAAGTTGATTAAAAAATTGATCAAAAAAGCATGGCAAAAGACATCAGCTGTTCGAAAAATGGTTATCATGAAAATGACTCTGCTTTACATGACAAGACATGCAAAAAACCAGAGTTGTGATCAGAGCATAACATACCAATTTACATGTATGCATGTGTGTGTGCAGGCATGCGTGAAGTCAGGTACATGAATACAACAGAAATAGAGGAAAGGAGATAGATAAGGAAATAAATAAGAAGAAAAGAAAGTGGTAGAATGATTAGGTGCACACCCAAAGCAATGCTTCAGGTAAAGTTAGAGAGGACAGAAAAGGAGAAAAGATTATGACCTAGCTGGCTCCACGCATGCACCCAAACCATCCACACATTACATACACTCAATTAGAAAATCATCGTTTTACAGAATTGTTGAAAATGTGTATGGCATTTGGAACAAAAGATTGTCTGAATCTACATCGTATTGTTTTAGGCACTGTTAGACGTATACCCAGTGGCGTAGACAGGTTCGTACACCTGGGGGATGACTGGGCTGCCAACGCTAGTGAGGGCGCGAAGCGCCCGAGCGAGGGAGCGAAGCGACCGAGCGGGGGGAGGGTGTGGGAGGGGGGTGTCCCCCCTCCCACGGTAGGGAGCTTTTGCAATTTTGAACTTGAAATCGTGCAAACTTAATGAGGTAAAATAACACACACAAGCGTGCACGCACACACTACGTATTTATTTATCTCTGTGAATTTTGCTGTTACACCTCTTCAGAAAAAAAACCAATGTCAACTGTGTACACGCAGGTATAGTCTTTGTTGTCTTGATAGGGGTATGTGGTTATGAATGAAAACAGCCTCTGTGGCCATTTGTGAATAGAACACATAAACAACAAACAAATAACGATTAAACTTTGAACAAAATTAGATTCTGGTCATAATATACTACATGTACTTTGTTTTAATATAAATATTCATTGTTTATTTGTATGTAAAAAGGAAATTATTTGATAGATTGAGGAGCTCGCGCAGTGCACTCTTCACTTTGCACAGCACTCACTTCACCCGCTCTTTCTTCCTGTCTCCTCTTCTCCTTTTGTAAGGCCGGTATCATTTCAAGCTCTGCTTACGATATCGGTCTTCTGCATTCTCCCCCTTTTCTTTCTTTTCAAATACGATTAATTGTACTATTGATTATTTATATTTATTTATTTGTGAATTACTACTTGTATTACTTATCATTATATTGCTTAAATGTATTCACTGTTATTTTTGTTATTGTTTATGGAAAATGCAGAAATAAAACTTGAAACTGAAACTGAACTGAACAATATGTCTGTTCATTATAAAGCATAATGAATACGTACATACTATGCTTTTTTTTACCTCAAAGAAACAGGCATAGTATCCATAGATGGGTATTGGCTGGCGGCTCTTTAACATACAGATACAAAAAACATAAACAGTATCACTATGATCCATGGAGTAACAATACTGCTTTGTAAGTTTGTGAAGAAATCGGAACCATAACGGCATTGCATCGTTTCAAATTAGGGCATTATTTACTTCTATTTGATCTCAGTCTTATAATAGTAATAATAATAATAATAATAATAATAATAATAATAATGATAATAATAATAATAATAATAATAATAATAATAATAATAATAATAATAATAATTAAAAAAAATAATACTAATACAAATAATAATGCTAATACTTATAGGTTCCTTTTATCTCGCATTTCAAGACAGGGTAAATTCACACTGCGCTTTACATGAAACAAACTTCTTTAAACATTTCAAACTTATGTCTTCATGCATCAACCAACATACTTTAAATGAATACAAAACAAAGTGCATCTTAAATAAAACAAAAATAAATAAATAGTTAACAATACAGAAAAGATGTAGCTGCTGCAACCTTAACAACAAACTAATGTATACCAGTCAGTCCTGATATCAGTATTAGTGTAACAATAGTCATCATAGTGGGAGCATGAAGTTGAACAATTCATGATTATACATAATTATATATGTTTGTTTGAATAATACTTGTTATAAAGATAGTAGGATGGTACTCTCTGTCACGAATTATTATGTATACTGTTGTATCACATTCATTTTCTATTCTTTTTTAGAATTGGCTTTCACCGTGTGAATGCAGCTAACAATAAACACAATAATGATGAGGATTATTATTATCATCATCATAATTATTATTATTATTATTAATATTATAATTGTTATCATTATTATTATTACTATTATTATCATCATTATGACTTATTAAGTAAGCAAATATCATTCCCAAAAACCTGGGGGGGATGATTGTACATGCCATCCCCCCCACCTTGTGAGGTGGGGGGGATGCATCCCCCTCATCCCCCCCGTTGTCTACGCCCCTGCGTATACCTGAACGGTTGAACTTTAAAAGCTCATGTAAAGGATGGGATGAATCTTGCATTATTTTATGAATCTTCAGTAGAACCTTCTTTTCATACAGAGCACCAATTGTGGGCAACTCTGTGTGAGTAATTCGCTGAGCGACTTTCCTAGCTCTATCAAGCTTATTCACATTCTCATTTGACTGGTTCCCATACATGCACACGAGACTGAAAGTAAGGATACTTTGTAACAAACTTTGGTAGAATAGTACCAGGATGGTATTGTCAACTCGGAATTCCCTTAATTTCCTTAGGAAATACAACCGTTGATTAGCCTTTCCTGCGAGAACTTGTGAATTTGGATTCCAATTCAGTTTCTTGTCGATGATTGTCCCTAGATATTTGTATTCTGGGACCTGTTCTATGGGATGTCCATGGATAGTAATAGGCTCATGAGAATGTGAAGAGCGACGAAAATCAAAAATTATTTCCTTTGTCTTTTGTACATTGAGGATTAGATTTGATTGATCACACCATTCTACAAAACTCTGTACTTCTTGGAATTGTATTCTGGGACCTGTTCTATGGGATGTCCATGGATAGTAATAGGCTCATGAGAATGTGAAGAGCGACGAAAATCAAAAATTATTTCCTTTGTCTTTTGTACATTGAGGATTAGATTTGATTGATCACACCATTCTACAAAACTCTGTACTTCTTGGAAATAGTTCTCAGGCCCATGCTTTAGAAAGCCGCATATAGCTGTGTCATCAGCGTATTTTACGACAGAGCAGTTAGAGAAGAGAGAAGTGCTTCCACTGGTGTAAACAGAGAAAAGGAGGGGAAAAAGCACACAACCCTGTGGAGCTCATATACTTACACAAGTATCACGAGAGGAAACTCCATTACACCTAACACGCTGTGGCCTATTTACAAGAAAATTAAGGATGATCCTAACCAATTTAGGGGAGACATCAAAATTTGATAGAGAGGCAGCCAATTTATGTGGGATAATGGTGTTGAAAGCACTACTAAAATCAATAAAAACACATGACAAAAGCCTTCGGGATTTCAAGGTGTTGGTATATCTTATGTAAGAAGACCAACACAGCATCTTCAACACTCCTATTGGTTTGATAGGCATATTGAGTAGGGTCAAAGAGACCTGTCTGACGTCTCAGAGATTTAGCAAGAATGTTCTCAAAGCACTTCATTACATTAGACGTAATTGCTACAGGACGGTAGTGATTTAGCTCTACCGGTTTTGTTACTTTAGGAACAGGAGTTATGATAGAAGATTTCCATAATTGTGGGATGTCACCAGTATCTAAACATGTTTGGAAAATAGCTGTAAAAACCTCAGCAAGTTGCTGGCTGCAAGCTTTTAGAAGTTTGTTTGAAATCCCATCTTGGCCAGTAGCTTTACCAGCTTTAGCCCTAGCGAACAAAATTCGAACATCGTTAATATTAACCACTACATCATCATCAGATTCCCTAACCTTGGTGTGGAGCAGTTCTAGCAAACTCTCATATTTTATTGAATCACCGATTAAGGGTTCCATACAAAATCATTGCCAACTTGAATTCATTAATTTGTGAATGACAATATCTATACGGGGACAAACGGCGTACGTGACTAATTACAAATATTGGAACATACAAATCAAGAAATAATTACCTGATCAATAAGTTGGGTATCACTTGAGAAACGGTTGAGAATTCTGCCGATGGGCGTTGTACCGAAGAACCTTCGCATGAATACAGAGAGAAACATTGTTTCACAACAGTCGCAATGTATATAATACTTTAGAGATAAAATTACTACTCCAATTTCGACCAATCAGATGGCTGAATTTCTTAAGTTAGGTATATAAAAGACATTATTACTATAATCTGGTAAGCAGGAAGACATAGTATGGATCGAGCCATGGGGGATCCAGCCGGCGGCAAGATGGAAGGGTGGCCAATTCCATGATTCGTGGAAATATTTAGCGGCGACTCAGCCAGCCGGTGAGGCTCGTCGGGATTAACTTTAAGTCCGACTTAAAAATTATGAAGAGCCATTTGTAGCCTTAAAATAAATATATTCAAAAGCAAGACTTTTCATTAATTCCACATCAAGAACATGAAATCTTCTTGATAATAGAAAATATGAATGATTGAATTAGCATTTTATGCCTTTTAAAATAAGTTTTACAAAGTATTTTCAAAGATGCTAACGGCTTTCCATCATTTTTAAGTTCAACTTAGGATCTTTGTGAAACACCCCCCCCCCCCCCCCCCCGGTGTGCAACGGGCCTTGTAGTGAATGACATTCTTACCTCATTGGTAAGTGGATGATGTTATCAAGTAGAGCATAGTGGAGGTTCCTTGAGGCTTGCAAGGCTCCGTAGGCAATGAAGAATATAGAGACCGAAGTGAAAAACATCGTACTGAGAGAAAGACCAGCATAACCACCGATCCAATATGATGACTTGTCGATTGCATTCTGGTTGAAAAGACACACATTATACCAGAAATGTTTTAATGAATGGCGGGAAATTCTGTGCAAGATGTTGTACGCGGTGTCAGTGATATACTGATCATATCCAACCCTTGTGCGTTGACCTGACAAAGAATATGCGCCCCATATTAATCCGATCGGAATTCGGAAATGTTGATAACTTCGACACTTTCTGTTAAGCGTGACTTTTGGATCTTCATTATCGAGGTATATCTTCCAGATTAAAAACACGATAGCCTAATCTGTTCAAAGAGTACGGGGGGGGGGTCGTAAATAGCAATTACGGAGATTCATCAAGGAAAGTGGGAAAATCCCGGTGAAATGTTGTATGTCTTCTGTCGGATTATCTGAATGCTAGAATATTGTTAACACAATCGCTATTATTTTCGAAAAATCGACTCAAGAGAAAATTTCAATACCCAATTTTATTTCTCATCAAAAAATGTGTTCGAATTACGTAATACGTCATAGTCATGTTCGCACATGGAGATTGCCTTCGTTGATTTTGCTAAAGTAGTTGCAATCATGTTTTTTTTTAGGATGGTAGATTTGTAAGCTTTTAGGTAATAATATATCTAAAGACTTATAAGCCCCGGATATAAGCATATCACTCCCATGTCAAGATATCTTGCCAGAATATACAAACAAGTTTGGATTTATACGACCAAATCTCAGACGAAGTCTTTTGCTACATTTTTTAAGGTGTCGCCTTCCACTTACCCCTGTCGAGTTGAGGTCATATTGAGACCAGGAAGAAAGCCAGAAGTGTGTTGAAATCTGAATGGCTGATCTCGTCACCACGGTGAATAAAACAAAGAGTGCCAGACCGTATCCCATAGCCTTGAAGTAATGGAGATACATCCCATACGAAACGGAGCCCTTCTCCTTCTCCTCCTTTGCTATCAGACGCCCCTTTTCATTTTCTTCAGGACCTGTTTTGGATGGAGATGTATACAAAGCATTATGATAAACGTAATACATAGACGGATCAAAATATTCATCAAAATCTTTGCGCTCTTGCTCTTTAATCCTTAACCTTGTCCTATCTACAAATCCCCTCACGGTGCTTCTGGACTTCGAGAGCTCACTGATGAGACAATCAGTTGGCTAAACAAGGATTTTCCTATTTAGACAATGTACACCTTGATATTCTTCGAACGAATTGTTTTGTGGTTTTATGTTTTCTAACAATATGAAAATTATATATTACATGATAGATCCCCTTTAAGTAACGCATTACCATTGAATTCTTCGTTCAACAAGTAATCACACTATATACTTTGGAGAGTTTGGTTATATTCATCTCCATGTAACACGGTCATCATTGTGTTATCATAATATACTGCACCAATCTTACGATTATCATGTTTCTATTGTGCCTCTACAACGCAAAATTTCAGCATGATAAACAACCCCCCCCCCCCCCCAAAAAAAAAAAAAAAAAAAAAAAAAAAATTGATGATGATGATGATGATGATGATGATGATGATGATGATGATGATGATGATGATGATGATGATGATGATGATGATGATGATGCTGATGATGATCGATGATGATGATGATGATGATGATGATGATGATGAATTGATGATGATGATGATGATGATGATGAAGATGATGATGATGATGATGATGGATGATGGATGATGATGATGATGATGATGATGATGATGATGGATGATGATGATGATGATGATGATGATGATGATAATAAAGATGATGATATTGTTGATTATGATGATGATGATGATGATGATGATGATGATGATATTGTTGATTATGATGATGATGATGATGATGATGATGATGATGAAGATGATGATGATGATGATGGATGATGATGATGATGATGATGATGATGATGATGATGATGATGATAATGATAATAATAAAACTAATTTATCTTACACTTATCCGCATGGCCTCCCGATATCGAACGGGCTACCTGACGTCTGAGTGCCTTCCTCTCGTCCAATAATCCTTCTGACTCGGCCTCAGACTCAGCCTCTGACTCGCTGAAGATGGTTACAGCTTTTTGCCACTCCGAACACAGGGAGGGATCGGTGATGGCCACATCTTCTGGTGAGCCGATGGTTACGATCCGACCGTCCTTCATGACTATGATCTGTCACGGGAGACATGTCATAGTGAGTTTACATGATGTAGAGAACCCTCACGTTTGCCTCATCACCCATACCCGATAAGTAGTGCAATATAAAACTCTCTCATCGTTCTAATTATCATACATGTACATGAGCATGTTTGGGCATTTCAAATCATCTTCTAACTAGATGGAACTTCGACTGCGCGCAGTCGAAAATGATGCCTCCGTCATAGAGCAATTTTACAAACCAAAACAGAAGAAATTTGTCAAATTCAAGGTCAATTGTAATCCATTAACAGGTTCTCAGAATATCGTGATTACAAGCGTATTGGAAAGATTTTTTCAAAAACCTGTTTATTATAAAAGAAACATGTTGAAACATATCATTACGTGAACTAACATACATAGGCAATTTTAAAAGGGCATGGTAGGGCTATTATATAAAATAACTTTAAAAAGCTTAGCAGTAGCAGTAGGTGATGTAAATAGCCACATAAAGAGATGCGCCTGGGGGTGATGGAAGAGCCGGTATGAACACCACCTTGGGAGTGATAATTCCCACCATCATCCTCATGAGCAGTCAATATTTGTATATTATATTTCGCACCCCCCCCCCAAAAAAAAAAAAATAATAATAATAATAATAAATAAATAAATAAATAAATAAATAAATAAATTATAACAATTTTTTTTTTTTTAATTAAAAAAAAAAAAGATATTTTGATAAAATATGCCTGTCAAAGTGTATATATTTGTTAAGAGTCATGGGAACTTACCGGTCTAAGAGCATTGCGCGTGTCTTACTACGATATCGTATAAGTATAGAACTATGCCCGGTCAATAAGTTTTCGCAATATTGCCCAGAAGTCAATAGCGAATTTCATGACTGCTGTTTTGACCAATCAGAAGCCTAGAAACTTCATACGCGCGCGGTATATTATTTTTAATAGAGCCTCTCATGACCAAGACGTCAGTACATATTTCTATACCAACCTGATCTGCCTCTGGTAGATACTGGAGCTGATGAGTTACTAAAATCACAGTCTGGTTATGTTTCCTCAGGATCTTAGAGATGCCATGCTCAAAGAGATGCGCTCCTACATGAACATCCAGGGCAGAAAGTGGGTCGTCCTGAGAAACACAACAATCAATCAATCTTAAAAATCGATTTGTTTTATGACTGGCTCCCAATCATGTATCAGGCAGGAAATGAAAACAGTATCTAGATCTTCAGTGACATAGGTTTAAAAAAAATTATCTCTGTCTATGTAGAATCCTATCGACGAGTTAAACAAAACTAGCTATAATGTGGAGAAATGTTTCTTTTCTTAACACAACGATACGTAATAATCTTTACTTGCTGTTTAAAATACAATAATAATCTGGCTAAATTTGATTAAAGTCATAAGAGATGTACCACTCGATCCTAAACTTTAACCGGTCAATGTTTTTCCCTTTCACAGATAACTTAAGTATAATAATGATAATAACGTTAATCATTTCCATTGATATCTGAATCTGAAGCATTAAATATTACTTTTAATTTAGATTCAATTTAGATACGAATCCCGGACACGAAAGCCCCTATAAAGTGTTGGGAGCCATAACAATGTGATGGCAAAATTTTACTTAAATTGTATCATAATGTGAAAGAGCATGTCATTTAAGACACATTTCAGCGAGAATTTTCAAAGAAAATATGTATTTGAGGTCGAATATTGATGAAAGAATAACAAATTTAGGTTTTCTGCTTACAACAGAAAACCCAAATGATGTATTCTTTTATCAATATTTTTCTTCAAACACATTTTTTTTTGGGGGGGGGGGGAATCTTTGCAGAAGTATTAAATGACGTCCTCTTTCACATTATGATACAATTTAAGTGCAATTTTGCCATCAAGATTTTGGCAAATTTTGGGGCTCCCAACATTTTAGAGGGGCTTTAATACGATTCATAACAATTACCAGAATGACAATGTTTCGACCAGAGTATAGCGCTCTTGCCACACTGACTCGCTGTTTCTGCCCACCGCTCAAGTTGATACCCTTCTCACCGATCTCCGTCTGGTCGCCAGCTGGTAACATGTCAATATCGGGGTTCAGGGCGCATGCTCCAATCACTTTACGATATCTGAGGTCGGATGGGAAATTCAGTGAAGGGAACAATTCATCAATATTTTTTTTTTCTTTAAAAGATTTTAGGATGATTATTTTTCAAATTATATTCTCTCTGCCTCCGCGAAAAAAACTTTGACCTGGCATGTTAACACAAACAGACCTACCGCAAAACAAGAACTACATAATATTATTTTGTATCTCAATGATGAAGGAGATGACACAATCATATTCTCTAGGAATTAGGAAAAAATGCATGTAATTAACCTATGCTCTCTTTATTTCTTCCTTTTATGATTTTTGATGTTTTATCTCACAGGAGATGGAAACTTATTATGATTATTCAAAGAGAGTACAGAGAGAAAGGAGAGAGAAATGACAGAGAGACGCAGATATCTAATAGTTAAGACCTATCAGTATTTCAGACGAATATCCATAGGTAATCTGCGGGCTATTAGAAGATTACGTCAATAACCGAGAGGATAAATTGTTTTAAAAACGACAACAAAATAAAAAAGGAACAAAATTATACAAAATTGTATTCGGATTTTTAGTTTTGGTAAACTCACTTGGAATCCCTGAGCTTTTCTCCGAACAAGACGTTGTCCTTCAATGACGAGTTCACCAGCCATGCTTTCTGAGCGGCGAAGGCAATATCGTTGTGTGTTCTGTTGGGACAAAATAATTTGTATCATAGTATCTGATTGCAGCTTGCGTCTGTAGTGTTTTAATATAACTTCCATGTAGTCATTTTACTTTTTCCCTTTCAACAACCTTGTTGCCGTAATCAGGCGCGTACGCAGGATTTTTTCAAGGGGGGGGGGGGGGTTTAACATTCATAAATCGGGCCGAAAATTTCGCAACGACTCGGCCAGCCGCTGAATAAGCGGGGGGGGGGGGGGGGGGGGGGGGGGGGGGGGTGAGAGGTCATTTTTTTTTTTTTTTTTTTTGGTCCAAAAAAAAATCGCAACGACTCAGCCGACCGCTGAATAAGCGGGGGGGGGGAGGGGGGGGGGGTAAGAGGGAGGGACACATTTTTTTTTTTTTTTGGGGGGGGGTCTCGAAATTTGAAGAGGGAAATTTTGAAGAGGGTAAGAGGGAGGGACACATTTTTTTTTTTTTTTTTTGGGGGGGGGGGGGGGTCTCGAAATTTGAAAATTTGACATTTTGCTCCGTTGGGGGGGTAAGGTCAGCTTTTTTAGGTCAACCATGGGAATATATATTTTTTTTTTTTTTTTTTTTTTTAATAAAAAAAAAAAAAAAAAAAAAAAAAAAAAAAAAACCAAAAGGGGGGGGGGGGGGTTTAGAGAAATTTAGGGGGGGTTTACACACAAAAAATTACCAAACGGGGGGGTTAACCCCCCCCCCTCCCCCCTGTGTACGCGCCTGGCCGTAATTAACATTTGGCAACAATGGTTTGTGTTTCTAGATGGGCCAATCCCGGGCCAATCATGGCCTTCTGAAACCATGTTTTCCTTATCTTAGAATTTTATTGACTCTTGACCCCCCCCCCCCTCTCCGAGCAATTTAGGGACCCCCACCACCCCCCTTTCCCCATCTCATAATCCAGAATTCCATGAACTATATTACCTATTGAGTTGTACGTTTCCGGAAAGTGTGGTCATTTCCCCCATTATCGCCTGCAGGAGAGATGATTTCCCGCTTCCAACAGTTCCGACTATCACTGTAAGCTTACCTGTCATGATGGATATTGTTGATGAAATGAAAATAAACACACAAAAAACACATGACAGCCAAATATTAAATCTATTCATTAAAAATAAAATGTAGATATATAACCACGGGAATGACTTTAAAGGTACACATTTTAGAAAAGAAGATTTGAGGTATGACCAACAGAAGAAAGTGAGAAAGGGAAAACAAGAGTTCTGCTGGTAGAGTTACAAGGAAAAGGAAGTAAACAGTGTGGACACTTTGGGGCTGAGGGATGGTAATGATAAAGAACACGAATATCTAAGAAACGAGGAAACTTGAGCAACTGATGAATACGCCTTATAAAAGATCACCACCGGGAATAGAGTAACGGGGGTTCAAGAAATGAATATAAGAATGACAAGCAAGGAATCGCGAGCAGCATGCAAATCATTCATCAATACAAATACTGAGATATAAGAATCAAATTACCAATCGGAATATCGACGTTTATATCGTGCAGGATAGGGGTTGAGGCGATGGGGTCCCATGTAAAATTACCATCCGTTACCTGCATTAAAGGAAAATAACGACATCCTCGATAACCTAATTATCATCATGGTGATCTAATGATTCAAATCAAATTATTTTACCAATATAACAAATGTAAAAATAATAATTGCTTTTGATTCAAACTATTGAGCAGGAATACTCTTTCCCAATAAAATGCACGAAGTGACAGATCGAGGCATACTCACTGGAGGAACAAGAAGCATTTAACAGTGACGGATTAAGAGGGCACTATCCCTGACCCCCCCCCCCCCTTCTTTTAAAACCCAATCGCGCACACTTTGAATTCACTAAAGAAAACTATGCCAATAATTGTGGTTTCGAGCTGCCTTTTCAAACAATAAACCAAAAAAGGCACCCGAAATTTCACTACAATTATGTTTTGTCAGAAGTCTTCCGCGCCCCCCCCCCCCCTCTTCTTTACAAAACCATGGATACATCCCTACAAATATAGTGAGACGTTCGAATATGTTACCCTGATAGCTACGTCATTAGGAAGTTCTTCATAGACTGAAGTAATCATGCTGCCTCTGGAGTACACAGATCCATAGGATGTGGTGCTGGCTAGGAGCGGTGCCCGGTCAGAGTTCGGAATGGTGGTCTCAAAATCTTTTCCATCGTCATCGCCGTCGCCCTCGATCTCCGGAGCGAGGAAGTAGGTCTTGAGACGTCCGCAGCTGACGAGGCAGTTGACGAAGAGATTGATGACTAACGGGAGAATGAAGAGGGGAACAACGATCTGGTTGGATAGTGAGAGGGTTGTGAAGGCGATGTCGGGGGTCAATGGTTTCCCAGTGATGCTGGTGTACGTTCCGAAGGCCTGGAAGAAGAAAGGGATTAGGTAGATATAAACAAATCTGACATAAGCCACATTAGCAGTTGACATGTAGCATCATCATCATCATCATCATCGTCATCTTGATGCGAGGAGAGATTGATCATAATAGCTTTTGGGGGAATCAATGTCTTAAAGCCCCACTGCACTACTTATAGCTACTTGCGCCCTCTATAATAGCAAACAATGCCTAAGCGGTGACCGTTGGTCCCCACGGTTCTTATGTTAATTGAGAGCTGATTTGATGAGATAACCACCTGTCAGTGACCATGCAGGGATGTCTTATCCCCCCCTGGCTCACCTAGTGCAGATGGGCTTTAATGTAATTTGCATAGAGGCGGTTTGATTATATTAAATTAAATCAAATCGTTCAGACCACCAGTGCTTATCCATTCTCATCTCAAGGGAATCAACTGCCAGAGGTCCAGAAGAGAACCAAATGTTCGTGTCATGCGGTAAAAGGGTATATTCATCATTAAAAGAATAGTAGGTACACATCGACACACAGTACGCATCTGAAGATAATTAGACAGGATCCTTATTAATCCACTAGCCATAGTCACACTGGACAGACAGAAAACAAAAGAATAACAGACCGAACAAAGTATTACCCCCAAAGGATAACAATTCGTCGGCTCTCGATCGGTGAGGAGTCTTGGTGGCTGGCGTATAATGTTGTCGTCAAATACAAAGAAATAAAGAGAATCAAAGTAAAAGGTTATCTATGTCCTCTTGAGTATATAGCTACAGAAATGGAACTCGTATCAAACTATGTAGAAGCATTGAATTAGCCCCAGGGTGGAAACTACAAGAGATGACAGCTTGATCGAATGCTATGCTAATAATGGTAACATGTCATTTGATAAGCGAGTAGACAACATTTGACTCACCACCAGCGCGACGATAACGGGGACCCCGGAGTTGATAACAACTGGAGAACAAAAAAAAAAATGCATTTTGAGAATCAACTTTGTTTAAAATAATAAAAGCATCAAAATACTGTACACATCAAAATTATCTATATTTTTCTACTCGAAAATCGTTTGTTATTGACACTAAATCCCTTTTATAAATGAATACCGTATCGGGAGGAAAAAAAGTTGACAACAATTATAACATTAAAACAATGGTTTATTATAACATTAAGACACGATCAAATCTAATATCTTGAGAGATCTACACTGGTTGCCCATTCAGCTACGGATCCGCTACAAGGTGATTCTAATCGTTTTCAAAGCTCTCCATGGCATGTGTCCAGAGTACATCTCAGTTTTGCTCACACCGTACATCCCACCAAGGCGTTTGCGGTCATCTTCTCAACACCTTCTCACCCTCAATCATGGAGCCACAAAAACCTATGGTGACAGGGCATTTGCATGTGGTGGACCAAAACTTTGGAACGCTCTCCCAGTGTCGCTACGCTCCATGATTGATGTTGACGTTTTTAAGAGAGCGCTGAAAACTCACCCTTTTTATGAATGCTTCGAGTAATTATTATGTAAACGTACATTGTACATTGTAAAGCGCTTTGAGAGGGCCTTCGGTCCTGAAATGCGCTATAAAAGAACGAACTATTATTATTAGTATATTATTTGGATGGAAATCACCTTCATGTAAGTCGTTTCTAAGATTAGAATGATGTAAAACAGTTAATGTGAGAAAACTTACAATCGACTGTAATAACGATGTACATCTTGAAGATCTGTGCGAGCTCTTTCTCTCTTGCTTGTTTGATGAGACCATAAAATAACTTCTCCCAACCGTAGATTTTCAGAAGCTTAATACCCTGTAGCAGCTCGTTTGATAGTTTCATTCTTTTGTCAGCACATTGCTAATGACAGAGAAAGAATAAACACACAAGTGATGATACCTTTGACTAAAATTACTTTCTATTCTGTTATTCTGGTAAGTTTCCCAGATGGTTCGAAATCGTGCTTTAAGTTGTTCATTATATATGCAAAAAAAAAGGATATGCGAGATGCACAAGTGAAATCTATATTGATTTTCTTTTAAGATTACGCTGAAACCTTTCCTTGCAGTTGAGTGGGTTCTGAATATTTATTAACCGCAATAAGTCACTTAAGAGATAGCACTTATCCATCTTTTACACTGTATCCGGACACCTACCCCCTGGACATCCACCACCTGATAACCATCCCCAGTCACTACCCCCTAGGACAACTACCCCCTAGGACAACTACCCCCTAGGGCAACCACCCTCTAGGACGATTACTCCCCGGGACAACTACCCCCGGACAACTACCCTCTAGGATAGTTGTCCGGGGGTAGTTGTCCTAGTGTCTGGCGAGTAGTTGTCTGGGGGTAGTTGTCCCTGGGGTAGTCGTCCTAGAGGGCGGTTGCCCTATAGGGGGTAGTTGACTGGGGATGGTTATTCCGGGGGTGGATGTCCAGGGGATAGGTGTCCTAAAATCCGTTTACACATGAAGACGTCCCACTTTGTGCATTTTAGAATGATCACTGCCAAAGAGATGGAGGTGGTTCACGAATACTATGTTTGCTCTCTTTAAAAAAATCTTCCACCTGTGTATCATAAAATGTACCGCCAGTGCATAAATGAATAATTTTTTAAATAGTTTTGTACGAATGACTTTTATCTGCCTATGCGCAGATAGCATCTCTGAAGTGGCTTAAAAGTAATATTGAATTACTATATAAATGGACATATAGTTATGTAACTATGTTTTAACCGATATTCATTAGAACGAACTTATTGAGTTTCTTTTGTTAAAAACATGATTGGGGAAATCTTTCAATGAAGGAAAGAGAAGAATCAGATTACAGAAAGATATTATTACTAATTAGGCTACTCGGGATAAATGATACTCATAATTGTAATGACCCTCTTCATCTTAATCATCATTGCATTATTATCGAACAACGAGATGAGAAAGCATTTTATTATCCCATACCAGAACTTTCTTAATGATTCCAGCAACTGTGACACCAATCATTATCTGGATTGGAATCAAGAGAAAGAAGAGACTTGATGCGATGAGAGCAGGGTAGCCCATCTGACGATAAAGAAGAACCAGAGTGATGATAATCTGAAAAGGGAATTGAGTAAAAAGAAAGACATACTGAAAATATCTACTTCACTCAATCAACAAAATAAAAGCACTATTTCCAAGAAATTGTTGTTATCGCAAAAAAGATCTAAATGATAATAATAATACTATGCAGCTTTTATATAGCGCTTAATACATCTCGGGCGTCTCTAAGCGCTTTACAGCTATACTATTACCACCGTCATTGGATTCAGTGCTTGCCCGCACAAACTGTGTGCACAAACTCCACTCCCTGGGGAACATTCCAGCCAGGCGTTACTTGACGCTCAAAAACTGTTTAACCAACAATGACGGTCGCATCCTACCGGGTAACTATGGTAATGCCCAGGACTCAGTAACACCACTGACAAAGAAAGATAGGGAAGTGATTAACTGCCTCCCTGTCATTTTGTGGAGAGAAAAAAAAGCGTTATATCCGTTTCATCCGAGGCGTCATGATTTACCTGACGCAGGACCGCGTCTGCGTCACTCTGGTGCGGTTTTTGACGCACCATAAGACGTAGACATCATACAAAAGAAAACAAATATGCTACGAACTTAACGGTGCACAGTTGCGTTGAATTTCTGGAAAATATACTCCATGTATTTTCCTTCACAGACTTGAATAGTGTAGTTTAGCTAACAACATAATCAAAATTATGCCGTGTGTGCAACGAGCATAACTCTAATGGTTTCAGTACGTCATTAAGTCAAATCAAATGAAATGAAAGAGACGGAATCAAAGTAGGCGAGTTTTGCAAATGTGTTATCCTACCTTCAAAGGTACCGCCCAAATCTCGTTTGATAACTGGAAGAACATCATGATATTGTTGGCATCGACGGACATGTGGTTGGTGATCTGACCCATGGTCATCATCCCACCCGACATCGCATACGTTGACATCCTCATCGATTTCCAATACACCATCGTCTGACGAGGTTAAAATGAACGCGGGAGACCATGGATGGTGATCATGGTGGAACAAAAAGTTAGAAAATTAGAGATCGAGGTATATCATGGAGATGTCACTTGCCCGACCTAATTAAATCCACTTTGTGTGTATCTATCAAACTACACGAGATATATAATCTCAAATTTGTTATGGCATCTAAAACTATTATTCATAACAAAATTAATTTAAACCTATCATACAATTATCAAGGGTGGCAGTAATTTAACTAATATTTCGATTAAGTCGTTTGAGCTGCAGTATATGCACTATTCTTTTATGCTCAATGAGTAAATCATAGTGTGAATATCATATCATTAATCCGAATAAATCGTCAATAATATTTCTAACTGGATGTGGCCGATGTGGGGGAGGTTCAGGTAAACTTAGGTTAAATTCAACTTACCCTTTTTTGTGGAGGGGGCATATTCACAACTTTGTTATCGATTTGCTCACCCCCCCCCCCCCTCCCTGCACACCCGCCTCATTTTCGTTATGGATAACAAATTTCTAAAGTCATCGTCAAAATCTTAACATTCCCAGGACCCTCTTTATATCTTTTAGGCAATTTTCGGCATATAAATCTGGTCTGAAAATCATCTCCCAGAAGTGACCCTCCCGCTGCCCCAAACGCCCCTCAATTAAAAAAACCAAACTAAACTTATACCTGGATCGCCGAACGAACATGTAGACCTTCTACTGAGACAATGTATTGGTAGAACTGATCGCAGGTGTGACGTATCAGTGACGACACCAACACGGCTGCTACCAGAATGTAACCGTTAGCAAAGAACTCTGAAGGCGTCACCAAATGGGGAGTAACAATCTGAAATTAAGTCATAACAATGATAGTATGTCGGAATCCTTTGAAACATTTCCATCACAAGTACGTGTCCTGTTATCTTTTTTTAAATGCGCATATACCTATGCAATTATGTTCCTAAATACTATTTAGGTAAAGAGGGGGAAAATAGCTTGATGGATAATGATAGCGACCGATAACGTTTGAATGTAAGAACTTAACAGATTGCTCCCCAAAATGCACCATTTCTCTTACAATGAAAAAAAAAATTGAACTGTGAAGAGCCATCTTAAATTTCTTATAGAAAATCGTATCCGATGAAAATTCAACTTGATATAAATGGAAAACTGAATGAATGTAGAATACAAATATAAAGGATTACAAAGTATTTACCCTTTCATTACTGTACAAAAGCAAATTAAGAGGTTATTTTCCGCACCCCTTCAAATTACGGGTCAAAATGCGTCAAATTTGCCGAAGTTACAGTGACGACATATAAACATGTGGACACAATCGGTTAGTCTATACCGTGTGAGTCAAAAAAAAGTTTACACCTAGAAATTTGCTAATTATTTGTAAAATCATCTATGAACAGAAAATTATTATACATCTTATGAAAGAGTGTTTAATCCCCAATCATTTGGTACCATTTTTGTGTGGTATGTGTTCACGCTCGGATGAACAGGTGGCATTGTTTGCGAGAGTGCAAAAATCGACTTGCGCCAAAGTGATGCCTTCAGTATGTATTATGTTGGGATTAGCGGAGTGAGAGAATCGATTGAATTTATCAAATGAAATGCATTGCATATGTTTTTTTGCAAAGGGCCAAGTCACACACACCCACACACACGCGCACAAATGTTCGTTGATATTTGATATTCGATATTTGATATGTGTGGCATGATTAATTTTAGAGGTGTTATTTGGATCTGCAAAGACCGAATTAATACCCAAATCCCAATTGTTTTATGCAAACATCACACAGGCAACTTTGGCGCAATTTGATATTTGCACTCTCGCAAACAATGTCTCCTGTTCATCCAAGCGTGAACACATACCACACAAAAATGCTACCAAATGATTTGGAATAAAACACTCGTTCATAAGACATATAACAGTTTAATGTTCATCGATGATTTTTTTAAATAATTAGCAATTTTCTAGGTGTAAACTTTTTTTTGACTCACTCTGTATAGCTGAGGCGATGAACCGTGCTTAATTAATGCAAAGTCATTGTGAATATACGTACTCCACACAAATGATGTCATCAAGTCGATAGCAAGTTTTTAGGTCGACAACTCTCATTTTCAAAGCTTTAGATTTAGATTTTTCAGAGAGCTGTATGATACTCCTCTGACAGACACTAAATTGGCATATACTTGATATTATTGTCATTTATGGCTTATAAGCTTTCCGTTGATATATAATTCATCCATTTCATTTTTCAGTTCGGATATGGTCTTTAAAAAGAAACATATGTGTTTAATTTGCTACATTAGTATCTAAATCAACACTCATTACGTTAGTATCATAATCAGGCGTTACTTTTTATTATTTATTTTTAACCGTTTTTTAGAAAAAAATGTTTAATGAATAAAACAAATATTAAAGCATTCAAAATATCAGCCAAAAGAGGGAGAAAGAAAAAAAACTAAAAAAATAAAAAGATTTCCGACCGACCGACCCATGTTTTGGCACCTAAAGGGCAATACAACATCTTTTTTTTAGGCCTCATAACAGTTCTCCCATTCTAAAATATTCCTCTTTTTAGCAGATTGGGATATAGTTACCTCACGCTGAGCATCTTCAGGTAAATAGTACGTATTGGTGACAAAATTCACAATTCCGCTGATGGACAGAGGTCCAATGAATGACAATAGATCTCCAATGATCTTGAGGAGACCAGCGAAAGCAATCGTCGGGCCGTATGTAATACACATCACCTTGAAGATGTTGAGCTGTTTACCTGACTGACGGCATTTCTCCTGAATACGTGATTTTGTTTTAGGACACAGGATAATTAACAAATAAACATAAATATATGACTAGAAATATCAAATGCACATGATAATTTTCATAGTTGTGAGATTGACATTATAAGTTGGCGGTGATAATTTATTACGGTAGTTGACTCTCAAACACAAATAAATTTTCCCCATGTTCTCTTTAACGATAGGTTACTACTCAACGTGAAGCTGAAAATAAACGTTCGTGATAACTTTACTTTGTGAATGTCTACTGGTAAACAAACTCTATAGACCAATGATATTCTACTATTAAACTTACTTATCAATTTCGTAGACGTTTTATATACAATGTAGGATTTAAAAATATAAGTGAAATATCATATTGAAACAAAATTTGCTATCCCAGTACTGTATGATGCCGGCCGAAACATTTTACGTATAAATACAACTGCGATGAATACGTGAAGTTATTGTTTTCCACGTTTATATCATTAAACATTCTGAAGGAGGATCAATCTCTACCTTTTCGCTTTCGTGCAGTTATCTAAGCTGTTCATGTTGTATGTATATTCACTTTTCAATTTGGTGCAGAAGATTCAAGATTCAAGTTTTATTGTGCACAATATTATTACATACTGTTTCCCATTGGTGTTACAACATATGCATAGACATGACATTGTCTGCGTTGAGCCAGAAGGGTGTTAACTTAATGAGAAACAAGAATGGTTCAAAACCAATAACTTTACCTTTTCTCTGTCTAAGACTTTCCTGAACCTCTCATGGTTGTATGTCGACGTGTGAATCTCGGGAATGCTACCGAGGTCTTCGACCTCGATGATCTTCTTGTAACCAGCCTTGAAAAGCCAATTCTCCCACCAGAACGTCACTTCAGAGAGAAAGGACGAATGCTTGGACAAATACTTCATCTTCTGCTGTCTCAAGTCAGCAGGGAGTGCGTCAATGGATGACTCGAAACAACATATCGTTTTCTGAGTGAATATAATATAGATGAAATCATACGTTGCAAGTGTATCCTTTTTACAGATCGAGTTATTACGACAGTTATTACGTAATGCCCGCTGCACACGAGGCGCCATTTGCTGACGGAGGGTTACGTCAATGACTGCGTCAGCGGTCTTTGACGTCGAGTGACATGGTGCACGAAGTAAATGCGACATGAACAGCGCAAACACTGCATTGATTAACGATGCATGCTCTAATTGCCCATATGGCTGAGTAATGACGCATCGTTTGCAATGGGCAATAGCTTGATTGTTAAATATTTTGATAACGTTAACAACAATTAATATTAATAATTTCTCCACTCCTGACAACGGATAGTCAACCTGTTCAAAACGTCGAGCCACTCCCGCCACCCATCCTCTCCAAGCGCCATAGTTTTCCTTACAACTATAAGCTAAGAAAGATAACCAACAGTCTTTTTCAAGACTACACCAACAGTCCTTTTCAGGACTACACACCCTCAAGAAAGATTACCGAGAGTCCTTTTCAGGACTCCTCAATCATCCCTCTCTCTCTCACATGGTGCACCCGCAAGCCTACTGTATAATAATTAATATAATGTAACATTGTTGGCTAAAGCCCGGCGTACAATAGGCGACCCTCCTGCGATCAGATTTTCGTATGAAAGGGTGGTTATATTAGATATGGAATCTAAATAACCATTTCCGCCATGATTTAGGTTCTTAATAAAGAAAAGAATATTAACAACCGTAAATTTAATGCATTTACCTAGTCGACATTAAATCCGAATCGGCTTCAAATTGTACATAATTCTGGTCTGACGTCAGTACGAATATGAGCCGATTTGGTTTCCCCCTCCAAAAAAGCATGAAATCCCTAGAAATTTAGATTGTTATTAATCATATGACTATTCAGATCCTGGGTCATTAAAACAAGTTACATGTTTGAATGTTCATATAAAATGCTTTCACAAATATTTCCAAAATCAGATCGTAGTCACATCGTTTCGTGTGCGCCAGGTTTTTTTACAGCTTGATGTAAAACCTACACAAATAATATATCATTTGCAAACACTCCGCATTGGAATAGCATAGCCAGAAGTCTTTTTTCAATGAGGGATGGGGGAATGTGGATTATCCCTTTTCTGTCGGGGCACGAGAGGCATATTGACTGTTCATTTTCTTTTTGGGTCCCTTTGCGATTTTCGTTGATGAAACGTGGGGCTAGGGAATGTCTGTAGTAGAAACACGTTTCTTCAACCAGAGCATATTTTTAGTGGACAGCGACAGCTAAGTAAAGGTACATCAGATGTTCAAATGGAAATTCTCGTATAAAAAATACCCAGACGACCTTCTTTTGTAAATTTCGTTTCAAACAGAAATAGTTTTGTTAAGGAAACAGAGATACTTGTTTTAAATTGTTATGCGATAAATACATGTAGAAGCTGAATTATATTGATTGAGGTCATTGTTTTCCCTTCGTGCCTTTCTGTAGAATAGATGCAAATAAAATAAACGACTTGAATGTCGTCATCAAAGTATACTTACGACAACAAAGTTGAATTCCACAATGAATAAAATGCAGTATATCACCAAGAACACTATAGTAACATCATATCGAAAGATGTCGAGTTTGTACGTTCCGCTATCGCCAATTAGATCGTCGTTGAGAAAATGATGCAGGCGATATGACATGGTTACTATGGATACCGACCAGAACAATAGAAGTAACCACGACAAGTGTTCTGTCCGTCTCTTCTCCAAGAAATGGTAATATGAAAGGGATATGATTCCAGAGAGTAGAAGGAAGGCACCATTGAGGTACAGATAAGGGTGGGGATGGTCGCCCCCCTTTCGGAAAGATTCCTCGCTGAGTATGCCTTCGCCGATTGCAGCGAGAGACACGGCGATAAACGCTAGGCTCATTATCCATCTTATGGAATGCCCGGGATATCGGAGGAGGTACGGGGTGGCTTTTTCTCTGACGCAACAACATCGGGTGATGATAATGGTGAGGATGGCCAACACAGAAAACGTTACGGGTGGGACTGAGATGATGGCGTCTACAACACATTCTTGATTCGACGTTGAGGCGTTACTCCCACAGAACCAATTCCATGAAGCAGAATCCATGGCAACGTCCGGAAGGTCTTCAGGTAAGGGCGGCTAGACACAAAGAAAAGGAAGAAAACTCGTTGGTCAATTAAAAGTATGACAAATTTTAAAAAAATACATAGTAGATTCCGAATAAAACTTGATTTGACACATTGCAGTTTTTATCCAACTTTTAAACATAATAATTATTTGGACTTTATCAAGAAGTTCAACTTACACGTTTATAGCGATGCTCAAACGACCGCGGTTTGACAAACAATATTATACTCCACTGTTTGTAGAGAAAGACATCGTTTTGGTAAACTGTTTCCTCACAGGGTAGTTGTCAGTAAATCGTCATTTTTTTAATTGGAAATAATATGATTGCTATAATCATAATATACTGCTCACTGCATACTGCAACCGCTTGAATGTTATACGTGGGTTATAATTATGTTGCGTAACATTGTACACCTTTATAAAACGCATCATAAAATAGGTGGGGCTATGTAAGGTCACGTAGGGAAACATAATTGTATATCCTCGTTAATAAGGTTAATGAATATGTTACCTCACAACAGTATGCACACAAAATTGCTGTAGATTACAAACTGTCTGCTGTTAACGCTTGGCAGGAATACGCAGTGGGCATAAAATATCATGTTCCTTTAAAATATCAACGTCTCTGAAAAAGAATAAATGGAATAGGGTCAGGATGTTTTCTACGTGCTAATAATATGCTTAAACAATACCCGGCTAGCATTTTTGTTTTGTTTTGTTTGTTTGGCCTAACTGCTAATAAAGCATTGTATGCTTGTAAGTTAGGTAACCATGTAATGTACCACCGACTTTAGGTACTCTCCGAGGGACTTGTAATGAGGGTAATTACCTATTAAACCAAAGAGCACTAGCGCATGGATCGACTTGGTTTCGAGTCCATGGACCTCCCAGCGACGGTACCACTGGATTACCACTGAGTCATTGCGCTTGTAACAGGTTTATCTCATGTATAAGAGCACACTTATTGATAACGTAAGTTGAGGCACAAGTTAGTGTACTTACGGTATGCCACATAGGTTATACAGTGTGAGTCAACAAAAAGTTTACACCTAGAAAATTGATAATTATTTTTAAAATCATCAATGAACAGTGAATTATACTATATTTTTTTGTACTCAGATCAGACACTGAAAGTACTATTGATATTTCATGCATCACGTGACCATGACGAAGCAAAGTTTTAAGATGAATCACGAAGCGCATTCATATTTAGAGAACGTTAAAGGTCTAAAATGACTACGCGAAATGTACTCAATAGTCAATATCAATACGATTGTATATTATTACAATGATTCTCCTTTGTAATCGCAAGTTCTATCCCTTGCATGGTTACTTTCTTCTCGTTTGATCTTGGATATAGATCATAAACCATATTTAGGCTACATGATCTGATGCATGCTAACTAACGTCTTACGAAGATGTCCCGAAAATTTCGCACTGTCGGCACTGTGTTTACACTCACGTTGTTTGCAAAACTTCTTTATTATTTATACATTCAGACCAGATCTATTCTCCTCTTTTGTAGGTAATATACAATGCGTCCAGACTGAGACACGTGTGGTGAATGGGTAGCTCGCCTCGCGACGACTAGATTGGGTTTTTCAAAGCGGTTATTTATTCTTCCTTGTTTGGTTACGATCGGGCTTACGACCCCCACCCCCCCCCCCCCCCTAACCACACAACACACACTACTAACACCAACATCGACACCACCAACACCAATATCACTACCAACTCCTATAGAGCACGGCATCTTATCTCTGTTTAAATATTTTGCGCTCTTTTATGCCGATCTTATAACTTTTCCTTCTCCAGCAAAATTAAGCACCCCAAAATAGTTTGAGCATAATTAGGCTTTATTTGTTGGATGTCTTTAAGTCATTGTGCCGTTCTCCATCCAGCTAATTTCAACACAGAATTATGCGTCAAAAGTCATTGAGTATTTAAGAAGCAGAACCAATAGAAACATATAGTTGTACGTTTGAATATGCTCCTTCGATTCGGTAATAAAGTGTAGGGCATTATAAACGGTATTATTTAAAAAACAGCATTACGACGCTAGAGTTCGCTGAAATCAAGAAGAAGAAAAAAACTCTCTCTGCACATTTTCAAACATGATGACAAAATCAAATTCCATGCAGACCTATATACAACAAAGTACACGACTATAATATTCAATATCAATTTTCCGAGTAAACTGCGTTGTGTTGTGGTCATACAGGCCTTCAAAACTAGCAACAAGGGATTTTCTTTATAAATTAAAATTATGTATCAAAATTATCGTTTATGAACATGATAAAACTGATTAAGTCAAATAAGACAATTGGTACAAACATATTACGCCTGTGAGGCGAAAGCAATTGCTCAATAAAACTGTATTTGATCCTTAAAATGAGTCGAATTGAACTAAAAGGCAAGTAGCTAACTAAAAAAAAACACAAGAAATCTGTTGGTGTTGATGGTATATCCACATTTTTCTTGAAAACTTGTGTAAACGAATTGATCGAATCTATAACATATTTAATTAATAAGTCGATTTTAGATGGTAAAGTACCAACATCATGGAAGATAGCTAAGGTAATCCCTCTACATAAAAAAGGGGACAAATCAAATCCTGATAACTATAGTCCAATTTCTCTTCTTCCTTGTATTTCTAAAATCCTCGAAAAAATCGTTCTAATTCAGCTACTTAAGTTCATTCAAGGTAACAAAATGTTAGTACCTGAGCAATCAGGATTTAGAGCTAAGCACTCAACCACAACGGCATTGTTGAAAGTGCCTGACGACTGGCTCCAAGCCATGGATAACGGACATTATACCGGGGCGGTATTCATCGATTTACATAAAGCCTTTGACATGGTCAATCACGAGCTACTTTTATCTAAGCTAGCTCGGCTTGGTATAGTTGGTAAATCTTTGGACTGGTTTTCAAGTTATTTGTCGAAAAGAAAAATCACTACTTTTTTAAATAATACATTTTCGGATGAATATTCTATTAACAACGGGGTGCCCCAGGGGAGTTTGATTGGGCCAATTCTCTTTGTATTATTTATTAATGACTTAGCTTCTGTATTTGACAAATGTGCTTTTCACTTTTATGCAGATGATACTGTTTTATATTTCTCTGATAAAGATCCAAAAGTTGTTGAGACAACTTTAAATTCCGAACTTACCAAAGCTAGTAAATGGATGAATAGAAATAAGTTGAAAATAAAATGTACTAAAACTGTATGCATGTCTTTTGGAACAAAACAAATGCTAGCAAGGCACGATGTTTTAAATTTAAGAATTCAAAATACGTATATTAAAAATGTAGAAACAGTAAAATACCTTGGAATTATTATTGATAAAGAGCTTAAGTGGAATTTTCATATTGAACAAATGTGCTCTAAAATTGGTAAAATGATAGGTTTTCTTGGTAGACTGAGACATTCTGTAAATGAATCTATTTAAAAATTGTTTATTCCTCAATTATTCTTCCCCATTTTGATTACACCGATATAATCTTGCAGTCTGCCCCCAAAAAATATCTAGATATGTTGCAAAAACTTCAGAACAGGGCAGGAAGAATCATATTGAAAATCAATCCATACTCTCATATTTCCACTTCTCATATCCATGAAGTTTTAAATTGGAAATTACTAAGTGTCCGCCAAGAAGAACATATATATATTATGATGTACAAAAGTTTAAATAATCTTTTTCCTGAATATATCAAACGTCCCATACCAATAAAAACAGACAGGTATTTTTTCCGTTCTATAGGTAATCTAAGTCTCCCTAGACCGAAAACCAATAATTGTAAAAGAACATTTTATTACAGAGGAACTTCATTGTATAACAAATTACCAGCTAATACCCGTAGTGCTTGTACGATTCAAAATTTCAAATCCAATCTGACAATTTTTTTCACAATATCTTCGAAATGTGCTCAATAATCTGTTTACCTCTCTTTCCTTTTACTTTATTTGTTCAGGGTTCGTGCGGTTCTGTATCCCTTATAAAATCCACTGAATTTGAATTATAAATGTAAATTGAATTTATTAGACCCGAAAATATATTATACATGTTCAGTTATATCGTTTATGTTTTGTTTAATGTAATGTTTACATTGAATTTATATAAATCTTATTTCCCCATGATTGTATAAAATATCTGATTTTTATGTATCAGCTCTTTTATCCGGACCCCATGGAAGAACAGGCGTATTTTGTTAACACGCCTGAAATGGGCTATCCGCCGTATATCTCATTTATGTATGTATTTGTATGTTGTGATGATTTTATACGGAAATAAAAACAAACAAACAAATTGAACTATAAGGTTATATGATTATACACATCAATAATTATCGACGATTTTATATGAATGACCCTTTTTGTTCAAGTATTAAATAACGCTGTCATACCAAGGAGGATATTATTAGCTGGTATCTCTTTGGTCATACCCCTTCCATTTCAACTCGACGCGGTTGCCTAAACAACATATGATATGACCCGGGGGGTGTTTCATAAACAGTTCGTAAAGTTACGCATGGCTTTACGAACGACTTGTATATGAAGTGCCAGATAGGATGCCCACATTTTTTTCCTGATATTTCCAATAACCTCAATTAAATTATGGCAAAAAACATACTTTGCATTAAAATGGTTGTTATAATAAGAATGTTAATCTATATCTGCACAGTTTAACTTAATAAATAATAATCAATAATGAATGAGCATCCCATTTGGCTTTTCATATGCAAGTCGTTCGTAAAGTCATGCGTAACTTTACGAACAGCTTTATGAAACACCTCCCCGATAAACTTTGTGAAGTTCATGTCGGTTATATCCTCTGCACTACACACTCATACTCGTAGTCATACTCCCAGCTCAGCGTTGAATATTTCAGTTTAATGACAGAAATCTAGGGCTACTGTATGATCGAGTTGGTCCCTAATAATCATTCTTGGAGCAACCACAACAGTTGACCAGATGAATTGGTTGAGCTAATAACACCTTAGCGCACGCTAACCCTAACCCTAAACCGAACCCCCATTCTGGGAGTTCATTGGACGAGTGGGCGTTTGTTGGGCGTTCATTGGGCGTTCATTATTTTGTAGTGCATTCTGCTTATTTGAGGATATGCGCCTCCGAGAGACTCCACCGAATTTACAAAAAAACAAAAGAAAAAGTTATTTCGATATTATTTATTTATCAATCATTAAAAAAAAATCTCGGTAATGTTGACTACGCTGACTGCTATATGTATGGATAACATAACTTCTTCTTTTTCTTCAAGATAATCTGCCTCCTTCAATACTGAAGATTCTTGCAGATGCCGTATACTCGGCCTGATTGGGGTGTGCAGGTGGACCATTACACCGGGGTTTCCCCCTTGTCTTATACGAATAGTGCAATGGGTTCTTAATGTGCAAGGGTGGTGACTCTCCTGTACACGGGGCCTCCATTTAACATCCTATCCGAGGGACGGAGTGTTTTCCACTTGAAATAACCTGCGTCTATGAACATCCGCCCCCAACGAGTCACGTATATGTTTTGCCGGTTGAATGGAACTCGGTTTATATACTCGTTTCCGACAAGGAAGGAATATAAATATATTAATTGCACATTCATATTCATGCACCTAGCGAGTCATAGCAGGAAGACGTTCAATTTAAGTGCACTCGTATTACTAGCCTGTGCTGTTTCACACGAATGTTAGGAGTTGCGTACCGTAGGTGTTGCGTATCGCAACTCTGTGTTAGGTTAGGTATATAATAATATCTTTTCTGTACGTCGGATAAGGAAGAAAGCAATATATACTCACAATTCACGAGGTCGGGTCGCACATTATACGATCTAAACACCTCCTGATCTAAAGCCAGAGCTTCAAGCTTCGCCACAGTATGTCAGATACACTCACAGAGATCCCTATTAGTGGAACTCGAAGGACAAACAAAATGAATGTTCCGTCGAGCAAGAATGGGTATTCAGGTAACACTGGGAAATTGTCATCCTTATAGGTGCTTAGTATACCGGGTATTCATGCCATTGTGCAGAGGTCACGATTCGGTAGCTGAAGCGTAGAACGAGAGATGGTCGTGTATATTAGGGCGCGTTCATGCTTGATTTTGACGGCCAGAATCAGGCATCTGTTACGCGTTTAGTTTAAAACACGATTGCGTTCATGCTCACTTTTGTAGAATCACCGAAAAACGGCGATCACGATCGCCGATCGTAAACTCACAAAAAGATGCGTTTACAATTTGTAAACGCGTTTAAATGGGGTCAACGCACTGACCTCTAGTGGGTCTACGTAGCATGCGCACACAGGTTTGCGAATCCAGCTGAAGGCCACCCAAGGAGAATTGCCTGGAGAAGTGAGCATGAACAGTGCACCGTGGAACTGCGATTACGATGAGCGTTTACGATGAGCGTTACAAATCGCTCATTCTGCCTTCAAAATCAAGCATGAACGCGCCCCTAGTGCACACGATGTCGAGCAAATGGAAAAGAGACGAAAAGTAAGAGAAAAGAAAGAGAGGGGAAAGCAAGCTATAGTGGAAAGTCAGACACATTGGCCCGAATTCACAAAGCAAGGTTTGAGCTCAGATCAAGGTTTGAGCTCAAACCTCCTTTTGTTTCGCCAAACCTCCTTTTGTTCTTTACAAACCAGGTTTGTAAAAATCGCGTAAAACGCGTCATATGACGTACGAAAACCAAGGTTTGTCGACAAACCTCCTTTGTGAATTCGGGCCATTAAGGAAACGATCTATGGAAACTATTGTGATAAGATCAAGGGAAGAATAGTTTTGGGGTATTTTGGAATCATAACATCATGCATGTTCTAGCAGCAGGGGAATCTCTATGTCAAAGCCAAACGCCCAATAATTCGAGAATCTCAGTTTAATATAGGCAAGGGGCGCATCTGTTCTTGTCATCATGAATGGATGTGATTGTTGATTTGTTCTTGAATGAGGTAGAAAGTTGAAGATTCTAGCCCAGAATATCGAAGTATTGCCAAATCAAGTCCATGCAGACACACGAAAGTTTTTGAAATTTTGAAAAAGCGGACCCATGTTAAGGAATATTTGTGAAAAAGCGACCCATTTTAACGGTACCCCACTCCCCGTATGTCTCAATATGTTAGTCCCACCCCCCCCCCCCCCCCCCCACGCAGTGCGTGTCAGCTATTTACTTCACCTAATTCATTCTGACTGCGATCGGATCCAGGTTAGAAACCTATTCACGTCTTTCGGATGGTGACGTAAATAATCATGTCTGATTGATACACGTTCAAATTAAAACCCAAACACTCACACACTTAAACAGACACTCACTATTCATGAAAGCACCTCCACCACTCTTGAATAGTATAATAACACTTCCCCGTGTGTATATTATTTGAGGGTCATTTGAGCCATGGTTAATAGATCGGTTTACTAGCATATTCAAATTTATGTATGTTTCTTTCCTGGGGACCTAGTGACGAGTTATCCCCTATCATTAACATGTTATTAATGAATGTACTCTACAAAACAGTCTACATACACTGTCGCTCACATAGTTGGAATATTTTTGTTTTACCCCAATTTATGGAATTATTTTAAAAATAATTAAAAAATAATAGATCTAGATATTAGTATACATTCTCAGATTTCATTGAATAATAATTTGCAAATGTGTGTTTTGCGTGATTGCTAAAGCATGTGTATGCTACTATGCTTATCAAATAGGGGACCTACGCCCTTAAGTCATAAATGACAGTAATGAGGATTAATGCCCCCAAAAAGGGCACTAATATAGCACATCGACATGGTTTTGATCCTGGGGCCTCACAGTTACGAGGCCAGTGCTTTGTCACTGAACCATGACTGTACGTAGCGGGGGCTAGGGTAGGGGGCAGTTTCCATAAATATTTTTTGTTTAAACAGAAAATGCAATAGATTTTCAATAATTTATTGCATTTTACCCCGGTCCCCAACATAAACAAATCCTCTGAATGGCCATGCATTATGGCTCAAGGCATGGGCACAATATATTTCTCAAAGTCGTTCGTATTTTTTTTAGAAAGTATCATAGTAAAGATCTTGTAATCTACGTTGAGTAAAGAGATATATAATTACTATAATTACTAAGAAGGCACATCACTGCAGTTATCGACAGCACGAGGGTGAGTCATATCGAGAAAATCTAAGTCATACTTTCGACGTCTTAAATATATGTAAATCGAACCTGATCCCATTCTTTGTGTCATTGCTACATACTACCCATATACCCAGCTCATCTATTTATTATTATTCGTGTTTACTCAGTATTATATCATTTTTGGTTCTACAATGATTAGCTGACTATTTTGTGTTATTGCTTATTTTATAATAACTCATGTATATTTTCTATATTCACGAATTTGTAATATTTTCGTACATTCAAGAAAATGGCGATCTTCTCTGATTTAGACGTATAAGTGATCATTGTCGTTGATCCCACTGATGTCAGTATTGGGCTGAATAACTTTTTTTAGTGTATGTGTACCATCTCACAATACCTTATTCATTATACAACGAGAAGGTTCTTCTCAGGGTGAATTGTTCAGTGGTATAACAAGAAAGAAGATTTGGGAGTTGCTACTCCACGCCCAAAATGTCTATGCGGATTAACTGCTTTTTATGTACTTCTTTTGCACTTTGAAACTAATCGCTATACAGTGAAGTTCAACTATTGGTCATTGACACTGACTGCATAGACTCAGATTGTAATAGTAGTTCTCTACTTCGTATAACTCTCTCATACTCTATATACTCTATATATAATGAGTAGACTCTTTTGTTATGTTGCTCCTTTGTATTATATGACCATGGATTCTAGGAGTATTCATGGTCCACTCTGGTGCTTCTGGTTCTTTATCTTTATGTTTTGCCACTTAATGATATGCAATAATACCTATTGATCATTAGGCCTGCCCGCAGGCAAGTCTTTTTCTTCTTTTTTTTCCTCTCCTAAATGACCGTATTGTGATATTATGCAAGGCTACTGCTTTGAATGAACCTGTAAAGTTAATAATAATCATTCTCTGTTATAACATACATGTATTGATATGTGATTTAGTACTGCTCCCGCTCCAGTTTCGGTTTGTCTCCACCTGTGTGTGCAAACATATTTATATATATATATATTGCTGTTGTTGTTATATATATATATATATATCCATTTTTATTATTTTGTTTTAATATATATTTGTTTTGTTTTTGTTTTTGTTTTTTGTCACTTAATTGGTTTCATATTGATTTTGTATTTTCTGTTTTCTGTTTGTAATGAACATCAATTTTTTTATGTGCATTATGCAATAATCTTGTTAAAGTCAACCATAGAGCACTTCTTTGTACTTCTTGTGATGATTGGGTTCATATCTCCTGCGCTAATATTCCTGTCAAAGTGTATAATGACATGTCTGAATTATTTTTGGAATGGCGGTGCCCGAAATGTATCATGAAAGTATTGCCATTTTATGATGAATCTACTAATGTACCTGAATGTATTATCAAATTCTCATAAGGATAAATCAGAGGTCACCCAGAAAAATCAAGATATTAGCTTTAAGAAATATTCAGAATTATCTATTAAGGGTCTGAAATTTGATCATCTTAACATTGCCAGTTTACTTAAGAATATTGATAATTGCGATCTATTGTTATGAAAAACCAACTTCACATTTTTGCATTCAATGAAACTAGACTGGATGATAGCATCAGAAGTTCTGAAATTGAAATACCTCATTATTTCATTGTCAGAAAGGACAGAAATAGATCTGGAGGTGGAGTTGCTATTTATATACATGAAAGTCTTATTTATTCAGTTTTAGAGCACGATTCTCTTTCCCACATACCTATTATTATTCGACTAAAGAATACAAAACCTATCTTTATTAACTGGTACAGACCTCCTAATTCAAAATATGAAGTTTTTAATTATTATGATGAACTTATTTCTTTTGCATCTGGATTTAACTGTCATCTGATAATGATGGGTGATACAAACTGTGATATCTTAAAACAACCTTTACATCTGAAAACTAAGAATTATAATCAAATTAATAATATATACTCAATGAACCAGTTAAATACCACTAAACCCACTCGAATTGTGAATAGTTCGTCATCCTTAATAGACCAGTGGCGGATCCAGGGGTGGGCCGAAACGGCCGCGGCCCCCCCTATTGGCGAAGCAAAAAAATTGAGAAGGAAAAAAGAGGAAGAAAAAAAGAAGGGAAAAAAAAGGGGGAAAAGGAGAAGATAAAAGAAAAGAGAACAAAAAGTAAAGAAAAGAGAGAGAGTTCAAAAAAGAGGAAAGAAAAAGAAGAGAGGAGCCGGTGAGAAAGCAAGACAACGAAATGGCACTAAAAATTAGTGACAGTAACGACGAATAAGGGAAAGACAAGGGGAAGGGGGTGCGTGAAGGCGGATGCATTAAGGGGAGGGGGGGTGACTGGCCGTATTCTTATTTTTAGGTTATGCGAAATTGAGTCGAAATTATGCTTCTTTTCAAAACAATCTTAGCATGCTTGTTTATGTTAAGCTGGAGTGCATGAAAAGGTTAGTGTAGAAAAACGCCCGGCCCCTCCAAAGAACGGCAGAATGGTAATCTATAAATTATGGGGTCATTCTTGATGGCTTGGGAGTCGTTATTAAGGAGGGGGCCGGCCCTACTCAAATGGTAGTGACGGTAACGATGGATAAGGCAGAGGGGGGGGGTCAAACCCCCCTCAAATTTTTGTCAAGTTGTCAAGTTGGTCCTGATGTGTATAATGCGTAGACCAGGAGTTCTCAAACTTTTTCTTTGACGGTCCAGAAGCGATTTCTACGAAAGCTGTAAGGTCCGAAATGACACTTGTATACTGAAGATAATGAGGCTTGTTTTTGGTCTATATCTGATCCAAGGAGAATTGTTACAGTTTAAAAAAAAACAGAACCGCCAGTGCTTCCACTCGTTTAAATAGAGTTTCCTGAAAAAGAACACCCAATATCCTGGAATTTGAAAGAATTTTCTTAAAACATTCAAAATGCCTCTTACGTGGATTTCTTATTTGGATAAATCGCTATGACGTTTTAATATGTATCAATTATTGAGTGGGCTTATTTTGCTTTCTAATGGATCCATACAACGTGGCAGAGCTTGAGG